GGGCTCTTTCTGTTAGCTTAAATGCTGATGTTTTCAACAGGTTTTGAGGACTTGGGAGATGAAATAAACGAGTTGTCAGGTTCCCTGGGACCAAACCATTATGATCGGATGGCCATCTTCAAGTCAGAGAGTGTTCATCCTTGTTTTAAAGGAGAGAGAGAGCCAAAGCTGAAAAGGGTAATAGTTAACGGATGTGATTAAACATGAAAGATTTAGACTGTGTAAAAATAGAGAGCATGCCCCCTCCGCCAAGAAGGGTGTGTGGAATTAATGTAAAACGTGCATGGGGGCATGACATGTGTCTTCTTTGAGAGCTTAAGGGAAGGTGCACTAGGTATACCATTCTGATACTGCTTTTAGATATCTCTTCCTGCAGCTGCTGAGTGCCAGGACCAGAGAGTCTCTAAAGCTAATGCACTGTATGTAGTTTTCTAGAGTGTGAAGGTCCCCAGTTCAATTCCTGGTAGAATCCAGCTACCCACATCTGAAGAGCCCCTGTAAGGGTGAAACACGTCAGGTGGTGTCTCCTAGTGGTGAATGTAACTGTTAGAGCAGCAATTCTCAACCATTTTGGTCTTAGGACCTCTCTACATCCTGAAAAATGATTGAGAACCCCAAAGACCTTTGGTTTATGTGGATTATACCTATTGATATTTACTGTATTAGAAATTAAAACTGAAAGTTTAAAACATTTATTTGACTTTGCAAACCCCCTGAAAGGGTCTCAGGGACCTTCAGGGGTCCCTAGGCCACACTTTGAAAACTGCGGTTTCAGAGGTTTCTCACTAGCCTTGTATTGCTTGAACTTTATAGTGAATGGGACGGCTGAATATGAAATACAGTAACTTGATTAGAATACAAAGAACAGGATATAAACTGAGGAAAAGTAGTTGTTGAAGTGAAGGTTTTGATGTGGAGTAGACACTGAGAAAGGGCAGGATCTTGAAGTTCACAGAATGCCAGGAAATAATGGTGTTCAATCTCCATTCCAGTAGTTGCAGGAAAACTGATCAGAGCATGTTAGATTGGCACTTGGAAAATTCTGTATGGACCATTAGCAGTAAGCTTGTTAGCATATCAAATAGGATGCTGCTTAGGTTAGTGAGTGATTCATCTGCCTGAACGTTAGTCAGTCTGTTTCAGGGGGATCGGATAATCTTCATTAGAAATTCTTGTCCAGATACCACTACCTAATATGGTATTGTACAACCTCTCCAGAATATATTGTTATTTGGATGCTGTAGAACTGCAATAATTAACAATAAGCAAAATTCTTTTTAGAAGAAGCATCTTGTAAAATAGGGGCAGTATCTTGTTCTCTGCTTAGATTTCAATGCATATTAATTAAAGATGCTAAACGCTAAAGTTTTACTGCTCATTTGAAGACGTTCTTGTTTCAGAATATAATAAAGACAAATCCACCTACTTTGTTATGTTTTTTTGCTAACTTTTATCTGTATCTGATAATAAAATTGCAAACCTGTATCCAATAGTGAAAAACATACATAGATCAAGGTTAAATTGTTGAATTCAAGTTCTCTGAACTTGCTTCTCTTCCAGCTGATGTTTTCTTACCAGTCTAGGTAACAGCATCAGTTCGTGGGAGGTTGCTGGCTGTTTCTATATGGTAGCTTGTCCTATCAGTCTTGATTCTAATCTAATTCTTTTGATTCTAATCTAAAATTCAACGAAATAAACGTACTACAGGAAGAGAAGTAGAAAGAAGTAATGTGACCCATTCTGTTGCAGAAGCATAAGATTTTGTAAGAATGCAATCCTAAGTGATGTGTGTAAACAATTTTGTGCTTTTGGGGAGATCTGTAGAACAACATATCCACCTACTACCTAGCATTGAAGTTGCCTGAGAGAAGGAGATTGGGGAAGGCAGTGTGTGGAAGAATTTGAAAGAAATTGAACTTCCAATTATAAGTAAGAGATCTTTGTATGTTGGAAGATCTAAATAAAAAAAAACTTTAAAATCTTTTTTTAAAAAAAGATACAACGCCGGAGAGAAAGAGAACAAGGTCATGTAAGCCCTTGACTAAGGCATTTTTGTTGGATTTGGAGACAAGAAGCCAATAGAGAGATTTAAGAAGCAACAGCATCTGATTAAAGCAAGAAACGTTACTGCAGTACTTACAAAGTGCTGCATAAAGAAGAAAAGGACAATGAGAGAACACAAAATAGCTTGCTGTAGTTCAAAGCATAAGTTGTGTAGGATTGTAAGAACACTAAAGACCACTCAATCCGAAAGAAGGAACCATTTTTTTTTCAAAAAAGTGGGATTTTCTGGGATACTCATGCAACTGGAGCACCTTTAGTTGGCAGAGTTGTAACAAACAATAAAAATGGGATAATTTATTCTAATTCAGAGAAGGCTACTGTACATTAGTATAACAGACGCCCTACATTTAAAGTGCTTTATGTTACTATGCAGATAAACTCAGAGCTGGGATTCCGTCATTTCAGTTTCTTTCTGATCTCTATTTTTTGAGATATTGCCTTTGTTTGGGGCTGCTGTGCTCTCTACAAATGCAGGCACTTGTGAAAAGAGGCACTAAATGTGGTGCTTCCCATGAAACTGTTCCACATACTGTGCATCGTAAACAAACGATGGGAGTTGGCTATGTCGTTAGAAGGCTTAGCCGTACCCCTGTCTGGGCTTGTTGGTTTGATGATTCTACATCTGACTTGGGTGATTTGCGTGCTAGTTATTTGCATTCACATAACGAGGACAGGTGGAACGCTTAAACGGGCATTTAAGGATTGCTGCATCTCGTTTGAAAAGCTATTCTCACTTTTACGAGATTTACTGCTTTTAGACTGTTTACAAACACACCAGCAGAAGAAGTTTGCTTCTTCGTGACTTAGTGGAGATACACACACGCCAAGCCCAGGTTAACAAAACACACTTCCCACAACATGCGACGAATGCCTTACGTTGTCTGGTTTACCCAGTGACGTTGCAGGGCCTAACGATCCCTTCCCATTTTAGCCTAGCCTACCCCACGGAGTGAATCCAACGATTATTTTAACACAGGGTTTACCATTAGTATGCTGGGTGAAGACAGTCTCAGCGGGGCATGGGCAAGCCAGACGCTGTCGCCCTATTTCTGGAAGACTGTTCCCGTTACTACTTTCAAAATGGCTAGTCTGAGACGGTTTATGCGTGCAGCAAAAGCAGACGACAACCTTCTTCTTCGGACGCGCTCCTTATGCTCGCGCGCACAGACAGCGCGAGAAGCAGCGCTCGAGACAGAGATTCGGTAACCCGGACCTCCGCTAAGCACGAAGACGCCGCCCTTCTAGTCCTCGACGTCTCTATGGTGAAAGGCCTTTCTCCGCTTCGGGGGGACAATAGAGCGGCCATAGGA